CCCACACCCTCATTCAACGATCAACTCTAAACCCTAAACCCTAAACCATACACCCTAAACCCCCAAACCCTAAACCCCTAAACCCTAAACCCTACACCCCTAAACCCTAAACCCTAAAACCCTATACCCCTAAACCCCAAACCCTGAACCCTAGACCCCAAACCCCAAAGGCCCCAAACCCTAAAACCCTATACCCCTAAACCCTGAACCCTAGACCCCAAACCCCAAAGGCCCTAAACCCTAAAACCCTATACCCCTAAACCCTAAACCCTGAACCCTAGACCACAAACCTTCAAGAGATGGTTCGTCTGAACTCTACACCCTAGGTTTAGGGTTTAGGGTGTAGGGTTGCGGGTGTAGGCCATCCCAAACCACCCTCAACCCTAAACAAAACCGAACCTTCTAAGCACTGAAACCTAAACTAACCCTAAACCCTGAAACCCCCACAAACCCAAACCTAAGCTAACCAATCCAAAACCTAAACCATTAACGCTCCTAAACTCCTGAGCCCTCAGCCTTACACCCCCCCTATAAATTAACATAGCACCCTACCATACAAGCCCTAAGCCCTGCAAAATCCTACAAGCCCAAGAAGCCCTCTATGAATCCTCTTATGAGGCCTAACAAGCTCTAAACCCTAAGCCCTAAACCCCGTAAAGTCCCTAAACTCTGAGCCCTATCAGCCGGGTCTCCCAAGTACTACCTAGGATAGACCCTAAACTCGGGCCTCACCAGGATTACCCGGTCGCTGCCGTAGCTCAAGCCGAAACCATCCTCGATCGGCCCGACCTCCACAGGGATGCGATGAGGGTTCAGGGTTCGGGTTCAGGGTTTGGGGTTTTGGGTTCGGCGAAAGTAGGTGCCGTTTGTATACTTGAAGTCCTACCTACTATACCCTAAATACCTACTATCAATGACCATCAGGGCTCCAATAAAAGTCTTCAAAAAGAGCCTGGCTGATGCAGGCCCTGAACCCTAAACCCTGAACCCTAAACCCTGAATCCTAAACCCTGAACCCTGAACCCTAAACCCTAAACCCTGAACCCTAAACCCTGAACCCTGAACCCTAAACCACAAATCCCTAAACCCTGAACCCTAAACCCTATAATTCACCTCGGCCCCGGCCGAAGTGGTCAGAGGTTCCGATTCGGACTCCCCCACCTCTTAATCCCCTCCCAGTGACCCTCACCCCTCAAAACATATCGTGGGGGGCGTTCGTCTGTGCAAACCCAATGGATTTGGGCTCTTTGTAGGCAGTCCCACCCACCCCTACTCTGCACCCCCACGCTCCCCCGGCCCCTTCCCCGGCGCCTTGCTTTTTCCTTTTGTACGCAGTCTCCTCCCCTTGCCAAGGCACCGGCAGTTCGTTGGCCCTCTTTGTTTTCCGCCGGGCCGAGGCGGACGACGCGAAGCGTTCAAAATTAACCCTAAACCCTATCACCCTATCACCCTCAACCCTAAACCCCAAACCCTAAACCCTAAATCCCACACCTAAACCCCAAAATCCCAAAACCCTAAGCCCCTAAATCCCAAAACCCTAAACCCCTAAATCCCTAAACCCTGAGCCCCAAACAGGGCCCCCTAAGACACCTGGGGCCCTGGCTACGCAACTGGGCTGCTGGTTGGCGACGCAAGTTGCCTTTAGGGTTTAGGGTGACAGGGTTTAGGGTTTAGGGGTTTAGGGTTTAGGGTTTTAGGGTTTAGGGTTATAGACTGTAGTGTTTGGGGTTTCGGGTTAGAGGGTTTCGGGTTTTAGGGTTATAGGGTTATAGGGTGTAGGGTTGCGGGTTATAGGGTGTAGGGTTTCGGGTTATGGGGTTTAGGGCTATAGGGCTTTAGGGTTTCGGGTTATGGGGTTTCGGGATATTAGTGTAGGGTTTCGGGTTATAGGGTTAGAGGGTTTCGGGTTATAGGGTTATATGGTTATAGGGTTTAGGGGTTTAAGATTAATTATAGGGCTTAGAGTTACAGGCAGTTATAGGGTTTAGGGTTTAGGGTGTATGCCCAAGCCTTCCAAAATCACCGAAATTCAGGAAGATGCCCTAAGGCGGTAGGACAGTAGGATCCCCTACTATGACTTAAGTTAGGGTTTAGGGTTTAGGGTTTAGGGTTTAGGGTTTAGGGTTTAGGGTTTAGGGTTTAGGGGTTTAGGGGTTTAGGGTTTAGGTTTAGGGTTTAGGGTTGGGGTTAAGGTGTATATATTCCTTACATTAGCGGCTTTTGGAAGGCCTGGGACTATGCCCAGTAAGCAGAAAGGCACGTGTCGAAGAGGCTGAAACACCGTGGGCAGGCAATGCCCCTCAACCAAGGCATGATTTCTCGTAACATTCAGGGTTTACGTAGGGCTTAGGGTTTAGTGTAATCTATCTATTCAGGTTTAGGGTATAGGGTTTAGGGTTTAGTGTAATCTATCTATTCCCGGAAATACGGTGTACTAGACACCGGATGAAACAAAAAAGGAAACGGAAGCCCAAGGCCGGAAATATACAGACAAGTTCAGAGCCCAACGGCTCTGCAGGCAGATTCCCGGAACCCGGAAAATCCTGCAACACTAAAACCCCAGGGCTCCAAGTATACAAATATCACCTACTTTGGGGTCTAAAGTCTATAGATAGTACCTACTTTGGGCTGTTTGGAGCCCCAGGGAAAAAGAAAAGACTGAACATCCTCAAGACAGCTTGGGGTTTACTGGGGGCCAATAGTCCAAGCAGTATCTAATCCTGTAGATATGCCTCACCCAGAGCCGATGCCATGAATGTGATGTAGGGGCCTCAATAATTAGAGTAGGGTTTTGAGCTCCTTTGTGGTATAATCGTAATGAGGAACCTAAGGAATAACATTGGTAGTTGCTTAGGCTTCTACAGTAGGATGCATCCACCCCGTTAGACAGGCACGCCAAGCATCGTTCAATGCAAAGCCCGGACCCTAAACCCTCAACCCTTTAAGGCTTATCAGCCTCAAACCTCCTTACACCATGAACTGTAGTGTGCCGCAGCGGGACGGGATCCGGTCATCTTGACCTCTTGTGGATAGACTCGCGCTCTCAGTTGCCTCCCCGAAGCATGGTATCGATAATACAGTAAAGCATCCTCATTATTTGCATATCACAAAGTAGGGCTTCCATAGAAGGGTTCTTGCTTATGATGCATGTTTTGCCTCACAACATCCACTTCCACCGACGCCATCAATTGAGGATTGGCCCTGCTGTTGAGGCATTACCCATAGGCCCCATAGTAGTTCCTTTTTGGGATTCCCTAATAGGAGTCTAAATATGAACCCCCAAAAGGATCTACTTTAGGGCCTATGGGTACCGGCATGGTGGGCTTCGGAGACTTTAGTGCGAGAGATCGCAAGAGAACGGAAACCTGGGGGTCCAAGTACCTTTCTTTTATTATCCTCTCGGTACCTGCACCCCCAAAAGTATATGCTGTTGACTTGTTACGAGGCTGGAACTGTAGGCTTAGACTGGCAACTTCTTGACGATTTCTTTCGTCAAGATGAAGCAGTTGTGGTTGTTGGGGGTTGCTTATCTTCACTTCTGAAGCTTGGTGCGGGAATCCCGCAAGGGCGCCGTTTTAGTATGCACGCTTTCAGTGCATCTATGAAGCTGCTACAGCACACCATGAACTCAGTCGCTGCCACTTCGGCGACGGTACTGCCGGATTTTGCGCGGGCTGCGCTGGAAGGGACATGGGTGTCTCTGACGCCTCACCCTTCGCCAGCTTTGGTACCGCTGCACTTAAATCGCAGCAGCATTAGCTCTGCCATTGAACGCTGCCTACTTTCTGGCAACGTGAGTGATGCCAGGAGATTGGCCATCCACCTCTTGCCCTCATTGCCAACCTTTCATGAAAGATCAGTTTGCCTAGAATCCATTGGCTTAGGCCGTTTGGGACCACTTTTCTTTGTTGACGATGTTGCTAGCCCATATCCAGACGCAGCCTCCGTAGACACTATATTATCTGACGGACTTGAAAGGTACGCTCGGTTGGCGCGTGCATCCTTCAACTTCGGCCCCCAGAAAACTGCGAGTATGGCATGCATTGATGCACCAGCTGCAACTGGCAATGTAGGCGTTTATAAGCTCCTTGGTGTCGACATCGACAAAGATCTTCGTTTCAATTATCGCTTGAACTCAGTTCTTGCGATTGGGCACAGTGCATTTGAGGAGCCCTTCCACATGTCAGAATCTGCAGGGTTCTCAGTAGCTGTCCAAGCTATGGAAGTCTGCCGGCGGCTGGAACCGCTTGTGCTGTATGGAGCTGAAATTTTAGTGTTGGCTGACGGGGCGGAAGCGAGGCTGAATAATTTACAAGCCACCTGGGCTAAGACCATCCTTGGTGCTAGGAGGCTTACTGATGTCCGAGGCTCTCTTGCAGTAGCCGAGTGTGGTTGGAAGCTTCGCTTAGGCACGGCTATGCTTGAAAAGGCTGTTCTCTTCTACAACAAGGTGCTCCTGCTGCCCAGTACCCACCCGACTAGAATGATGCTGACGTTGGCTTTACTGACGCCTTGCGACACTTGGGCCAGCCGTGTACAAAGCATCATGCGGGACCAGAGACTGCCGCACATGGTGCCAGATATCATTTCTTCTGGCATAATGAGAAGTGACGAGAAGTCTTTGGTCATGTCTGACCCTGCTGTCCGTCGTAAATGTGCTGCGCCGGTATAAGTGGCAGATCCTTCGGCCTGCTTTTCAGCACGTCGGTTCGCAAATCTTTACAAAGGATGCTACCAAACCGCTGCCTGGTCTCGACACCACGTATGCATGTTTAGGATGCTACAGTATGCGGTCACTCAGCTCGATGCTTGTCTCTGAGCTACCTTGGCTTTGGATCCGCGCATGGTACTTGGTGAAGCTGACTGGAATCTGGCCCTTAGGGCTCTTCAGTGCTGAGCGTGGTGTTGTAGAGGTGCCCTGCTGTAGGCATTGCAAGGCCGTTTCCATTAAGGTACGTCATGTGCTGGGCGAATGTCCTGAGGGCCGGCGCAGGCCTACCTCGGCTACATCTGTGGAAGGTCTGTTTTGTGAGCAGTCAGATCACAATACGTTCCTGCGACATGTTGCTTACGTTGGATCTCAGATTGAAGATATGCTCAAGTGGATGGCTCCCAGCTGCATTGTCCGGTCAGAACCCGACAGTGACACTGATGCAGACAGACTGAGAGTGTGGGCCTGGGACTTGCAGGGCAGCGATCATGACTGAAGAAAGGCCTTCGGAAGCGCATATTGCCACGACCTGCAAGGCTCCCCTTGAGGTATCGCGCAATATGTGAGTAGGGCACCCTGGTGCAGTGTCAGGCTCCACCGTGTGTTCTGCTGTGTACACCCATTACCCATTACCCATTATCCTCTCGGTACCTGGACCCCCAAAAGTATGTAAAATAATAATCCTTTATAGGCTTTAGACCATTATTTTACTTACTTTTAGGAGTTTAGGTACTACGTAAACTACACCTACTATTAACCATATAACTGCGAAAAACACTGAACGCCTTTAGGGTTTAGGGTTTAGGGCTTTAGAGTTTAGGGTTAGGGTCCCTGAAAGCCCTACAGCTGCCATATCCCTATCCCAAAGCGCACATTGAGAACGCAGGCCACAGCATCCCCGCACCCCCAACCCTTGATCTTGAAGCCTCACCCGAAGGCTCTAAGGGCTCATATGTTAAGGCTTTTGGGCTATTTTGAGCCAAGCCTGAACCAGATTCCATGCGCTTGGTGCAGCGAAGTTGCATTGAAGCCCAGGGTCAGTGGCCCACGGATCGTTAGCAAACCAGCCTGAACCGTATCAGTGCTGTAGCCGTAAACCCTGGACCCTAATGTAGGGGCCTTAATAATTAGAATAGGGTTTTGGGGGTTGCTTATTGGAGTTATTATAGTTTTTGTATAATATCCCAGTTATTATAGTTATAGTCGTATATCCCCAAAACCCTATTCTAAATATTAAGCACATAATTAATGCCCCTACATTGAGCTCTGAAATCCGAATCCCAGGGCTATTTTTCCAATCCTTGTGACCCAATCACTTCTGAAACTCGTCCCGGCTAACCTCCCGATTTCCTTCTAGGGATAGACCCTAAACCCTAAACCCTAAACCTTACTAAACCCTAAACCTTAAACCCTGTTGAAAGACCTTACAGGATTCATGGCACGAGATCCAAGGCGTGCTGCGATGTAGTTTAGAGGTCAGGGGCAGTTAGAACATGGGCACCCTTAGGGTTCAGGGGTCAAGGACACTGTGAAGATTTTTCCTTTTAAACCCAAAGCCTCCAACCATGGCGAAGGGTCACCCTACACCCTCAACCCTCATACGGCCTCCACTTTAGATGTCCCGGTGCGATCTTACGGTTCAGACGGCTCTATGAGGACGCGGGCCCAAACCTGAATCTAAACCATTTCATGTTGTGTGCGCTACTACGAACCCAAAGAAAATGTTTCCCTAAACCCTAAACCCTAAACCCTAAACCCCAAAGTCGTACCCTGGGGGGGCTGGGTCGGACGGGACTTCGGGGTCGAAAGCCTCCATGCTGAAACTGCGGTGAAGCGCGGTGTAAGTTTAGAACGCAATGGGATTTAGGGTTTAGGGTTTAGGGTTTCAAGGCAAGCCTTTAGGGTTCTTGGCCGAGGGCTTTTCTGGGTTTTTTTGAATCGAAACGTAAGATCATGAGTCCACCAAGGCAGACCGGCCTCGGACACGAAATGGCTAGGATCACTGCAACCATCTGCATTGCCGAAAGGGCACCAGCACCTTGGAACAGTGTAGAAGCCTTACCAACTAGACTAAGGCTTCGGGGTATACTTTACCCAAAGGCTGCACAGCAGTTCCTTTTGGGATTCCCTACTAGAACCCTAAAGATAAGCCACAAAAAGGAACTACTATGGGGCCTATGGGTAATTACTTTAGTTCTTACAGCTGTATGGGCACAATAAGGTCAGGCCTGCAAACCGACGATCGACTCTGAGCCGGGATGCCGGTTTAGGCTTTAGGGTTTATCGGGTTTTGGGGCTTAGGAACCCCAAAACCACAAGCAGAAGCTCCATCACCATTGAACCATGGTGGCTGAACTTGAACTTAGAAACCTTTTTTCAACACTTTAGGGTTTAGGGTTTAGAGCTCGTGCACACTCCGTATGTAGGTACCTCGGATCCTTGGGGAACCCCCTTATGGAGCCCGTCGATAACCCTTATAGAACTCTTATATACTTCTGATAGCATCACAAAAAAATCGGACTTAAGTATCCTTAGTATCCCTCGTAATACCCTAGGGCTCCAAGTATACACAAAGTACCTACTTTGGGGTCTAAAGTCTACAAATAGTACCTACTTTGGGCTATTTGGAGCCCCAGGGATATCACAGGGCCCTTGCTTCAGGGGTTCCCATCCTCCAAAACCAACCTCTCTGAAGCCACATACCTTACACCAGTAGAATTGAACACAGAGGGCCTTAATGATGGGAACAGGAGTTCGGAGTATGACCTAGAAGAAGTGTATAGGGACTACACGGATATACGATTATTGAATGTTTCGCCTCATCGGGTTTATAGGGAATGGGGTGTAGCTCTAAACTGCCGCGCTGAAAGCCTTGCACGAGCCCTAGGCTCTAGAACGAATCCTTGCTGAAGGGATTGCAGGCCCGAGCTCAAACCCTGGAAGCAAAGAGAGATTGAAACAAAACCGTGTCAGGAAGCACTGCAACATGGTGGTTCAAATCGTCGCCTGAACTTCGGTTTGGTTTGTCCTGCGGTATCCCAGTCCCTTTTCCAGCTTCTGTTTGAGTCTGTGTTCTGTTGGTTTTGTTTCTCTGCCCCACGCCACCAAGGCGCTGGTATGAACGGACTTGGGCGTTCTCTGGGCGATTGTGTGGCTTCCAGGCCAGCCGGTACCATTCGTGACCTTTCCTGGTTTCACTTTTAATGTACCGGCCGTAATAATTAGAATAAGGTTTGGGGGGTCCATTATGCTATATGTATAATAAGGAACTCCCAAAAATAATATTGGCAATTATCTAGGCCCATGTTTTCCTTCCAAATGTTTGCTTTAACCTTTCTCACTGCAGATTCTCTGTGAAAGGATAGCCTCTGTGTCCAGGCACACTCAGCTTTCTTCATGCCAGAGACCAGCGCTTCTCAATTGCTCTTTGTGTATCTGTTACCCAGAGGGTCCATATACACTAGCATTATGGAATTAGTTCCCAAAAGACCATCCCTAGTATGGTTTTGGGGACCTAATTCCATAATAGTACCATATGTGGACCCTCTTGGTTAACCCTTCTACTCAGAAGGATCAACCTGTGTCTGCCCAGAACTCTCAGGGTTTAGGCTTTGCTACACGGGTCGGAATAATTCCGAATAGTGTTCCCTTATAGTCCCTTACGAGCATAGTATCATGTACCCCAAAATTATGTTCTAAGTTCAAGCCCTATGTTGCAGACCTCCTCGACGGACCTGAGGCAAAGACATCTTGTACGTGCCCACGGCAGCCTCAATGAAGGGTTATAACGACCCTTAAGGGGGGTTGGGGACTATACTCCTTCAAATAGGCCTCATTAAGTCCTTATCAAGGGTATTCAGCCCTCTCCCCCTACTGTTGATGACATACATCCTGCATTGTCTGAAGGACGCCAGACTATGGAATTCTTGTACTTTCCTTACTTGGGGGTAATCCTATAACTACCATCAACCGTACCCCCTAAGTTAAAGGAAACTAAGGTGGGGAGTTTGGGATCTATAGGGCTTCTATAAGGCTTCTATAAGGTACAGAGACCTTCTATAAGGCTTCTATAACGGTAACTGCCCACCTGAGAATATCCTAGACTTTGGGGTTCGGGATTGATTTGGTTTAGGGCGTAAGGGTTATGGGTTTCAGAGGGTTTCTGGGCGTAGGGTTTCGGAGTTAGGGTTTGGGGGGTTATTTATGCCTGCTTGCCCTAAGGGTCCAAGTAGTTCATTCTTGTGGTTTTGTGGTACTCGACAACCCCCATAGTCGCATAATGAGACGTACTTGGGCCACTGAGGTTGAAAATCATGTCTAGAAGATACTCGATCCTTTCGTACGTTAAACCTTCTTGGTCACCCTCTAAACTCGAGAATGTCCTTGGGTTTAGGGTTGAAGGTTAGTTGCTAGGGCACTGAACAAGCCCTAAACCCTAAACCCTATAACCCTATCACCCTATCACTCTAAACCCTGAATCCTAAATCCAAAAACCCCAAGCCCAAAAACCCTAAACCCTAAACCTTAGGCCTAAACCCTAAACCCCCTAAACCCTAAACCTTAGGCCTAAACCATAAACCCTAAAACCCAAAAAACCCTAAACCCTAAACCCATATAAAACCCTAAAACCCCTAAACCCTAAACCCTAAAACCCTAAACCCTAAACCTTAGGCCTAAACCCTAAACCCTAAACACGAAGGTTTCGGTATTGCGATGGCTCACGAAGGGGGCTCCGGAGGCTGCGGATTTGGTGTTGGTGTTTGGGATCTAGGGCATCTGCGGTGTCTTCCTATGATATGTAAAGATATAAATAAATAAATAAACAAATAAATAAATAATATATATATATATATGTATATATTTACAATCTAGGCGCCTTAAATAGCAAGAATAAGGTGTTGGGATCCTTTGGACTGTACTTATAACTTACAATGCAGTAGGGAACCCTAAGGAATATTCTTGGTACTTGTTTAGGCTTCTATAGTAGGGTCAGGCTCCTTCCCACTATGGCCGGCAGCAGCCTGGACGGTGTCGACGACTCCCCAGGAGAAGGAGGAGCCCGCGCTTGTCCTGCATCCCTACACCCTACCTACTTGGAGGATCAGGGGACTTAGTAAGTAAGGTTTCAAGTACCTTAAAAATGGTTATATAAGTAATTCTACGTATATAGTTCCCCTATTTATAACCCTAGCTACTCTTTCCCATAATCTTTCAAGTAAACCCTAAAGCCTAAGCTCACTCGATTTGGCGTTTAGGGGTTTCGGATTTTCGGGCAGGCTTTCTGGTTTTAGATCCAGAGGTTCGGGCTTACTGGATTTTAGGGTTTCGGGTTTGGGGTCTTGGGTCTAGGGTTTAGACCCTAAGCCCCAAACCCTAGTCCCGAAACCAGACCCCTTAAAAAAAACTTTTCGCCCTCCTCAAGCTGGTCTGGGGTCTGCGTTCCTCTTCTGAGCGACAGGACTCTTTTCTGAACCGATGAAAGGACATGGTATAGACCAGAACAGCAACACCAACAAAAAAAACAAGGTAACGAACCCTAAACCCTAAACCCTAAACCCTAAATGCCTAAACACCTCAGCCCGAAAGCCCCTATACAGCATGGAAGCCAACAAAGAAAGGCAATGCACCCTCGCGAAACGACGACCCTCAACACCCTCGAGGCCTAAAGCACAAGGCCCCAGTCCGTGACCCCCAAAACACAACAAAGAAAGTTAAGCCCAACAGTTCTAAGCCCCAAACCCTATAAACTTTGAAGCCCAAAACGCTAAACGGCCCACAACCCCTCCCAAAACAGCGCCCACGCCCCGAACCCACCCTAAACCCTAAACCCTATAGCCCTAAACCCTAAACCCACCCTAAACCCTTGAAGCCCTTGCCCTTGGGCTCCCAACGCAGGGAGAGACGTCCCATTGTTCGGAAAGCCCTCCACCTTGCGGGCTCATAGGGTTTAGGGTTTAGAGTTTAAGGTTTAGGGTTTAGGGCTTAAGGGCGATTGGGGGTTCCATGGTTCAGCAGTTTACATCTAGTGTGTCAAGGGTGTAGGGGTTGCGAGGTTGGGGAGAGGGGCTGAGGGGTTAGGCATGTGGGATGTGTAGGTTTAGAGGTTTTAAACCCTAGAAGGACACCTAGGCACTGCAACGCTAACCTGAGTACTAAAGTTTAATGCTGGGCATTTCTGGATCATACAACGAACGCAACAGCTGTTGCAGTTTCTATACAAGGTCTGGTTGTTTCAGGGCTTGTAGGGCTTTGGGGTTTAAGGCAAGTTTCGGAGATTTAGTGTTTTTAAATTTATGCCTTTGGCGGCTATGCAGGTTAAAAGGTTTATAAATTATAGGGCCCCTTAGCCCTAAACCTTAAACTGCCCAAATCGCCGCTGAGCATTTGAAAGGGCACGCGAAGCTCCGACCGAGGCCCCCGGCCTAGCGTCTCGTCACAACGGCGAGGGAGGGTAAAGCTTCCCGGCATACGAGGACTGTAGTGACGCCGCCCCGCTCATGACCTGTCTGTCGTTACAGGCAGTAAAGATAGACCCCAAATCCCGCACCATTGAGGCGGCCCTGCTGATTGGGTCAGGCCGGGAATTTCTGGCTGCTGCAAGTGGGCCCTGCCAGGGGTCAGGGTTTTCAGCGCGACCCAAGCAACTTCCCAAGCGCCTTGCCAGGGTCCATCGGCCAGTCCGTGGTTTTGAGCAAATTGACAGGGTGCAAGGGGCGAATTGCTTGTTGGGAACCTTTGCTTCTCGTCGAGAGGTCGGCACAGGCCGCGAGGACCCACAACCCGACACTAATCCATCTCAGCTGTGGTTTGCTGTGAAACGCACATTTTATGCAGAACTGCGAGAGGAAGCAGAGAGCAAGAAAGCCCCACTTGAGAAAGTTTTGGGGGGTGAGCCCTAAACCCTAGTTCAAGATAGTTGAGGTGGTTGGGGCGGGATTACATGCTGACGCAAGCACAAGAAAAGTGGGTGCGCCCCTGTTCCTAAAGTAAACGGCTCACCCACGGCGCGTGCACTGTATACACACCCTAAACCCATAACCCTAAACCCTAAACTGCGTTGGGATTTTGATGTGGGCAAGTTGCTTCTGTTCAAGAAGTGCCCAAAAACAGAGAACTACAAGGCCAAGGAAGTTCGCTTCAGAGTTTTGGGTTTAGGGGCTCCTAAGACCCTATATGGGGAATACTTACACGACCCCGTACCATTTGAAATATAGAGGCATGCGAGGTGCCCTCAACTCCAACACCCCAAACCCTTCTAAAACCTAAACGCTGTCAGCCGGACGCCTTAAACTCTATAAACGGCCCTAAACCCTACAAACCCTAAACCCTAAATACCCAAAACCCCAACCCTGAAATTGGGAAACCTTAGGAAGGATCCTCTTCACTTTTGGAATACAGGGCACCAGAAGCCAGGACTCTGGCGGCGGTACACAAGTCATAGCCTCCTACCATAACCTTCCTTGTTACCACAGAACCCATGTAACCTTTCGTAAGTTAGGGCTACATTACATAGGGCATCGAGGATGAGAGCTGTAGGTGTAAAGGGCTTAGGGGTCTTGAAATTTACACGGCTTTAAGGTTTTGAGGGTTAGCTGCCTCTTGCCCGATGCCGCAAGCCGTAAGGATCTTCATCAGATCTCCGCTCCTGCTCTTGGCACAAGGAGCATGCCCGAATTGCACAGGGGTTTTATGTAGACTTGGGGGTCAGAGGTTTCCCCTGGGTTTCGACTACTCTGCCACTCGAGTGTACTTAGACTTAGACGCTGTAGGGCCGTATTATGCAATGTTTATTTGTTGTTCATTGGTCTTCCCATTCCTGTGATCGGTGTAGTAAACTTTACAACAGAAGTATCTAAAAAAATGTAGCCACACCCTAAACCCTAAACCAGAGCACCGGCTCCAGGGTCATGTTGCTCCAAGGCTTCTATTTTTTTCGGTTGGTCATTGCCTTAGCCCTTCTTAAAAAGTACACCGCATTGTGTACTTTGTGGTCGTCGCTGTCTTTTGGGCTCTGTCGTTGGTCAAACTCTAAACATGTTGTTCTTGCGTAGTTCTGGCTGTCTGCCTGCCTACCTGCCTGTCTGTCGTCTTCCGACGTCTGTGCCCATGTAACTAACATCAACTAACCATATTGGAGGAGAGAGAACCTGGGGTTATGTGAAACCTGCACATCAGAACGGAGGTGCTACGCAAAGATTGGAAGCCCTCCGTAAAAAAATAACATCACAGCCTGCAACTTGCGGTTTAGAAGTCCAAAACCCTATAGCCCTAAACATTATACCCATAAACCCTACGACCCTAAGCCCCTTTACCCTAAACCCCTAAGCGGGCGTTTTGTCAGAGTTAGGCCTCGGGCTCAGGTAATACGGCAAGTTCGGTTCAGGGCGTGGGGTTTAGGAGTCGCGTTTAGGCTTCGTGTCTCCTTGGTTCTCTGTATCTCTTCAGGGGGTTTAAGGTTGAATCAATCAGATGATACCTTGCCCAGTCTGGGTATTATATGGCACCACCCACCCCACCAGCCTAAATAGATATCTTAAGAAAATATTGTATTCCCAATACCCGCATCCACCTAGGTGCCATTGCCATAGCCCAAAAGGGGCAAAGGGTTCCTGGTAGAATTTGGTTCAGGGTTTAGGGCCAAGGGTTAAGGGTTATAACTACAATGTACGTATAATACATAAGCAGTTATACATTATAATTATATTGTATCTATGGGTTTAAGGACAATTCAAGTTGATGTCGGTGAAGT